TGTGTATTATAGTGCACTGGAGTGGCTGTGGGTATGCTGCCAGTAGGTGGAGGAGTATAGTGTTCACCCATTGGTACTAGACCATCCATAGTTAGCAAATCGTGTGAGTTTCCATTTTCCATGATGATATCATACAGTCAGTCACAGTCACACAGTTTACCACACACTGGCTCCAATAACATTACAGTTGAACTTCGTACAAAGTCGAACTGGCTCCGCCTGTCCTGCACAAATAATCCTAGATCCTGGTCTCGGCACCAAAAGATGTGACACGGATTTCCGACATAAATGGGGAGTGTCCAGCAAAAATAATAGATTCTAGATCCAGGTTGTGCTTACGTATAACTTTTATTGACTGAGTTTCACGGCGTCGAGAAGGAAGAGCAATACACAATGGGTTCACATGAAATAAAAACAAAAGCAAAAATAAGCATCGATAACACGCTGGTTGTAAGAGTTGAATGTGCATCGTCATAGCAACCACTGATAACGCGGCCCACGATTTCACACAATCACGTGCATTACATAGTAACCTGCACTATAGCAAAAGTTATATCCCAAGTTGAGTAACAAGTGACATTGAATCGAATATAACTGGTACTGAAAACATGATCAAAATAACATAAAAAGCGAGTATCTCGAAGCAAATAAAGTTCAATGTTTATGAAAGTTATCGTTCGACAGCTTCATTAATAACACAGTACAGCGTGTAGCATGTAGCGGCGATGGCATCATGACTTCTAAAAATAACGATTGAATGATAGAAACTGAACAGAAATAACTACAATCTTGTCAAATCAATTCCTAAAAACATACTGTACAAATACTGAAAGGCTGAATTACAGATGCAGATTTATTTATTTATTTATTTTAGAAGATACTGAATGTTATAAGTTATTGTGCGGCGTTTGCTTAGAAAATGCTCATGATGTTTGTTGTCCAGAGTGGAAGGTTTACAGAGGCTCTGGAGAAGCTACTTTATGCACTGGAACTGAGAAGTGCTGTTATAACCGTAAGTCTATTCAATTATTTATATACCTGCCAAATACTGTTTCACTCCTCGGTTATCCATGGTTCAAATCGCACGTTTTCGCGAACTTGGCGTAAACCACAGTACGCTAGCATACAAGTGATGACTAAATAAGTGGCTTATTTGCCCATATTTACTAACATGGGAAAGGGCATCCTAAGTCTATTCCGACCTGAAGTAAAGGATTCCCAGCATTCGACTACATTCGGCGTTGGATACGAAAACCTCATTAGGCCTAGAACATAGAAACGAACATACCGAAATCGTCATCCAATGCAGAAGCCAATCAGCGATGGCCTCACAATTGAACGAATAGACAGCAATTGGGGCCATTTAAATCTACCTTCACTAATAATTCATAGTAGTTGACGTAGTTGCATGTCACAGTACAGAAAGGTTTGTTGACAATATGAAAAAATGAAATAGATGAACATAATCTAAAGAATAAACTCTAGTACAAATCTGCAAAACAATACTATCTTGACTCAATTATTGACTGTTTGGGTATAGTATATACAAATGTGACATTGCAAAATCTACATAGATGCAACCGCGAACATTATCATTATGAGACTTCGAATGAACATCCCAAATTGTCTATCAGACAAATTATATCTACTGTGGATACAAATTATGTAATGTTGCAACATAAATTTGATTCGATATTATTTTTTATAAATTTTTGTGTTGCAGTTTGTTTATGTGCAAATTCCACGAATGAATGATAACTTAGTGTATTTGCTTCAAAAACATTTCACGTGTGATACTCAACGTCAGAACGTAACGCAGAAAAGACATGGAAAGTTGATTTTATTTGTTCGTTAATATTTCCACGTTGAATAAATGTTATTATTATCATCTGTAACTGTAACGCCATACGTTACGCGTGCCAGAATTTTGCAGTATTTTACGGAGTATTTTCATCCTACCATATTAGGAAATGCTAATTCCAAATATGGAATGATCACACGCATAAGTGTCCTCTAATAATAAAAACAAACATGGCAGCCTCCATGGTACTTAATTTGACATTTTACTTGCGCGTTTCATTCACGAAAAAGGCACGGACAGCTAATGAAACATTAAATTTCTTTGCACAAATATTATTAAGAAATAAATGTTTATTGAATAAAGTATAAATCATATCATGTACAAGGTGGCGCCACTAAATGCATTACGTAGTCTGCCAATATGCAGACGACGTACATCAAGTTGCGATGCAGTGTAGTCCTGGCAGCTTAGTTCCTTGAGCTCCGACAACAAATACGTTTATCAAATTATTTCAACAAGTTATTGGCAGAGTCAAATGCATATTGGCTGAAAAGCATGTCAGATGTTCATCTTTCTGAGCCTGGTGGTGACGGTGACGAATTTTCTCTAATTATTGCCGATCGAAAGCAATGACGACAACTCTGTGGAGCTGCTAAACCTAGCCAGTGACATTGGTAAAGCAAGCACAGACGAGGTCAATTTATCAACAGATTCGGAAATATAACGTTTTGTCACTGATCAAAAAACAAAAACACCGCCAAGAAAACAAAATACGAAACAAACAGCCTTCGAAGATTCCTGCAAGGACAGAGAAATGAAACGCGAGAGATACACAAAATATCACCGCAAGTACTCGATAACCACCTGCAACACTATTTTTTTAAAGCCTCGAAGCAAAATGAAGATCTCTATGAACCGGATACATTATCATCTCACCAAAAAAGTATAGAAAACAACTATCGTTGGTCCATAATTCGAGACATTCAGTTTACCAAATCGCGGGAAGTTCTGTCGGCGAAACGAAAGAGTTTGAAAAAAGAAGGCAAGGGGTAATGGCCAAACAGAGCAGAACCTCTCACTGCCAGGGATGAGACCGCGCTGTGAAACTGTGGCCAGCTTGGTCTCGATAATGCAAAATCATTGCTAAACACCGTCTGGCTCAACAACACAAAATGCTTCGGTCTGAGGAGTCGTGACGAGCACCATAAAATGACATGGGGGAGATGTGGTATTGAAACGGAATGAGTGAGTGAGTAAGTGAGTGAGTGAGTGAGTGAGTGAGTGAGTGAGTGAGTGAGTGAGCGTGACGCGTGTGCGTGTTCTAAAGTTCACGCGAAGTCCGACCAGACCCCACACAAAGAAATTCGCTAAATCTGTTCTAAAACGTTTTGGATTTCGGCTTACCCATGATGTATCCTTGGGAGGAAAAGATATATAATAATAAGGTTATTACGAGAATACCTCAAAGTATGCACTCAGACAGTACACGGTCGCATCGACCTCCGCTGCGCGTCGATCGATACTCCCTTGTACTGTCTTTGTGCATACTTTGATTGAGGTATTCTCATAATAACCTCATAGTATCCAACGTTGAAAATACTTCATTGAACCGATGTTGAAACAATGTCATATCGTTACGTTAAAATCACAATAACATTCTAAGAAGCTATAATTGATAACCTGAAAATACGATCACCATCACACGTTGTGCGGGCATAGGTAAATATATTCCCATGAAAAAAAAAATCCTTAACAACAAAATCAAAGAAACAAGCAATGCTGAAATGAAATGCGTACTGTCGTTTCCGTAACCACATACTAGCATATTCTTTTAACATATTAACAGAACATTATATTAGTTAATTTTGTAAAAAATAACACGGACCAAGACCGGGTTATACATGCATTTAAATCATGAGGCACGTACTAAGGCATGGGTCACTTTGCTCGTTGTGTATATGGTTTGTTCCGAATGGTTATTCATGAGTTAGTCAGCCGATAACTGTAGTTAACATTATAATTGCACTGTGTGTGTTAAGTATGGGGGTTGTGTATTGTTAATTATTTAAAATGTGGGAATGCTGGAAGGTGTGGCCTGTGAACAAGGCTGTTAAAAACTTTCTCTTCGCGCGAATATGGACCAACCAGTGTTAGTGGCGTTTTCATAGTTTGCGGTAAAAAATGGAAGCCGACGGAATTTGAGGAAGGAAGCCGTTCTGAATCCAACAGAAGGCTTGCTGAGGGACCCATCTATTGATGGTATGCTGAGAAATCTGCGGGACTTGATTGGGAACATGGAATTCGCCGATTTTGTCGTTGACTAACCTCTGTCGTGAGTAAACACGTGACGAGGGACTGAATTGTTAGTGACCGTTTTTTTCCAGAGCTCTATAAAAGTAGGTTGGGCTGAAAGTGGTCATGATGATGTTTTTAAATTATGTTTTATGAGTAACATTCTTCTATGTATTTTGTGGAGAATACAGATTTACCTTGTGTATTGTTGATACTTACAACACGTGTAGAATTTATTGAGGTTGTGGGAATTTGTGTGAGTCACCGAAAGCTGCCAAGATCCACCCCGGATCTATTACAACAATCAATGTTTATCCTGGTTCATGTCGAAGTAGTTTAGAAATTGGAATCAGGCCGAGGTGTGGAATAACACATGTGGCTTATGCATCTTTAAAGTAGATAGAATCAGGGTGTGGACTATACATGCATTTTCAATGGAATAAATGAATGATATCCATCAGAATGAATACATTTGGATAAAGTTTTAGCTAGTTCAAATGTTTGCTTAGTCAATTCAGTATGCACGGCCTCGTTTTACAACAGTTACTAACAATTCCATAGTGTATGAGCATGATGCACAGGGGATCTGATCGCTATAATTATTAATATTTTACAGCTGAAAAGGACAATTGTAATCAGAATAAACGGTCTGGTAGGTGAATATATTTACACAGTATCATGTCACACGTAGCGAGTTAATGCAACCCAACACACACGTTCACTAAATGTACTGTTAATAGTCAACCACTCTATCAACTATAATACAAACTAAGTGTGTGCTCATTAAGGTAGCGAGAAGAGAACAATAAAGAATAGTGTAATTGCGATTAAACATTTTTCGTTAGTTACCGAGTGTGTAACTATGGGAATATATATTTACAGTAAGCTGAGATATGGGAGAACACAATTGATATTTGCTTAGAAAATTAACTCAACAAGAAATAGATTTGTGGGCGATTGGCCATTTTACGTTGTTTGTTCTTTTTCTGTTTTATTTTATTTTTACTGTTACCTCACAAGATAATATTATTTGAAAATAGATCACGGAATTGTTATTTTCCGACTTAGTTCGAGAGATAAGGACCATCAAACTGAAGGACTGAAATTCATAGATGGGTGTCATCTTGTGGTCATAAGGGAGGTGATCAAAGGCAAACCAGCTCTTTTTTGTTCCTGTAACCCCGTAGCCCCAGCGAGAGTGAGTGATATTGTGAACAAGGTCGATAGCATAGAGCGCCGCTAATTTATTCAATGCCTATGTTATATGTAGCATCTTCAAACAATACAAAAATTAAATCTATCGCCCGTCACTTGGCCTGGTTATGTAAATGTACGGTAGAATGTTTAACCATAACTGGGTTTTGGAACATAAACAACAATTACATGGCAAATATATTGCGCACAGTAAATATCAACCAACAATAATTAAATAATAATATAAATGTTTTGTTTTTATCGTTTCCTCTCCTGCTACCTTAATGCAGACCTTGAACTTTGACTGCAGTCACTAACCAACTTAGTATGCATAATCCTCCTTGATACCTTGAATTTCAGCTCCAGAGATTCTGGATATAAAAAGAGACACGTCAAATGCAGATCAGTGTCCTAAATGTGTTGGTTTTGGTGACCCTCATATACATACCTTCGATGGAACAAAATTCGATTTTAATGGGGATTTATCCGAGTCGTATACAATATCTAAGAGTGAAGATGGTGCAGAATATTATTTCAAGATTGACATCATACCTGGGATAGGACCCCATCCAAAGGCACCACATGTGATCATTAGTGTAACCATCTTGTCTGGAGATAAAACCTATGTATTGTCAAGAAAGGGTGATGGGGTTGACACAATTATTAAGGTAAATGTGATGTAGTTGACGGGTTGTAAAACATAACTTGCAAATACTAATATGCGCTAACATAGACATAGTACAAAACGACAATTAAAGTATATACATTAATTGGAGTTTTGATGTCTTAAAATCTAAATCAAATTACATCAATAATTCACGTATATTCGTGAACACGAATGATTTTTAGTTAAGAATAAACTAATCTTATGCCCTTTAATATTCACCACTTTTCATATATGACATGAATGATCATGTTGACGACGTCAATTAAGAAACTGTTGCAGCACATGCGCAGTGTGACTTTGACAAAATAGGGAACTGGCATTGGCTGTGAAGAAGGGAATAAATGTGAATGCTACCAAAACGTACATGATTATACGAAGTTCGATGAAATGTATAAATCACTATATACGACTCAATTGAGAACCAATAAACAGCGAAAATATCGGGTGTAATTTGTATTTATTTATCAAGTGAATATTTAACTGTCTAGTATTTCCTGCAATAGACTATTGGGATGTTATATTAGGTAATTGTGACATTGGCCTTAAGCAGCGTATGTTTTTGCAAAAAAATAAGGCACGAGAACAATAGTACGTAAAATATACAATTTAGCGACAATTATTTAAATCGATCATACGCGAATTTCAGAATGTCTAGGTCACAGAACTCGTGTGATTTCCAACATATTTCCTCTAGTTTATTTAGCGAATTATCAAATGCATTGTTGTCACAGACTTCCCTCAAAACAATGTAATGTAATATTGACAATGTACTGATTCAAACTTAAATCTTTCCCGCAGGACGAAAATGGTGATGACATAATGCAAGGGGAATTATTTCAAGTAGTACATAATGACATCCTTGCAATTACAGAAAATGACGATGTGATTGAAATTCGAATGGAAAACGCAGTAGTTGTAACGTATACTGGACCGAAGTTGACTATACGCATACCAAGTAGTCTTAATTATGTAGTTGAAGGTATGTGTGGAAACATGGATGGTGATCCGACCAATGACTTCAATAATGCTAATGGAATTACGTACAATGTCAGCAGTAAAACTGGGGCAAAGGATTTTGTTGACATGTGGAAGAATTGAGTGAGTATCTACACTTGTTTTCTTGGTGGTATTCATATTATCTTGGTTGGAACGTTTCCAACATCCACTCCTGATGCAATACTTGCCCCTGGTACTATTTGAAAGATAACATTTGAGTAGATACATACGTATTTCTGACTTCCACAATTATGATACATGCCATGCTACACATTATCTATTTATGTCTGTTGATAAAAGAAAATCCAATACATGGCTATTAATTGTGTAACAGCACCAAAAGGGACCGACTTAACTTGGTAATTTATAGAAGAACTGTTGAACCCGTATAGCTAGACAAGTTCCCTCGTTTTGTGACAAATAGTTCAACACATGCATCTACCATGTCATTCCTATATCAATAGTTTTATTGACAAAGAATGATATATTTCGCCTGTGTCATGTTTCACTAATGTAGGTCAAAACCTTCAGATTGACAGCTGGCAAAAGTTAAATAAACTTATTTGTCAGCACGAGATTACAATTAGTTGTTACTCACCTGAAATATTAAAATTCAGAACATAAATAACAGAAAAACTCCGGAGAGAAAATGGGTATGTCAACGATTTATAAATGCGCAAAACAACGATTATGATGCATGCCATGCTACACATTATCAAAAATAAGATGAATTACAATCAAGACTACAACATAATATACCAAGAACACAAAACACTACTAATATCCTGCGACTAAAGTTTGGCAGACACCATATGTTGTACTTTTTAAATAAAATAAAATAAAAATTGCAATATATATCTATACATTTCTCAGTATGTGATAGCAAAATTTAATTGTATATTGTTGTTTCGCGTAATTTAATAACTTTATTTTGGTTTATTTTCAGGCTGTCAAAGAAGATTGATATTGGAATAATTTTGATTTTACGTTGGTCAGATTTGGTGGATCGTAACGAATAGTCAACTTATCCATCAACTTTATCTGTTTCTGATTTATTTGGGAATAATAAAAACAATTATAATCTTAATTTATTCATCAAAATTTAAATATAATGAAATTAAGCATGATATAAACAGCATGAATATATATTGGTTAACATTGTACTTTTCGATTTTGTTTTGAATAAATATGGGTGAAATAAACTAATTACCAGCATTATGTAAGCTCGTCACTCGTAATTTTTTAAAAACACAACGCATCACAATGTTCAGCAACTATGCGTTATGTATATTTTGTTTAAAGGATGGTGTAATGTCACAATTGTAACACAGTCTTGCTTAAGGTAAACTGGACGCGTGTCATTTTCTAGGATGATTGAGACATTGGAGAGAATCTACATACTTCTATTTATATTCCCGACAATCAAGAACTTCACAAAGATGCATGATCCAGGTACAAGTATAGTATATGTTCAGTATAATTATTATTTTGTTTTTTGCAATATACATACCACATTTTGTGACTAAGCAATAAATATTCAATCTGTAAAA